AGCCACAGCTTCTCTGGGCAACCTGGGCCAGGGCCTCCCCACCCTCCCAGCCAGGAATTCCTTCCCAATGTCCCACCTCACCCTGTCCTCTGGCAGTTTGAAACCATTCCCCCTCATGCTGTCACTCTCTGGCCATATAAATAGTCCCTCTCCCTCCTTTTCATAATCCCCTTTAGGCACTGGAAGGGGCTCTAAGGTCTCCTCAGAGGCTTCTCTTCTCCAGGCTGAACTCAATCAATTTATGCAAAAGGTCACAAGGTTATTTTTGGAAGTGCTCCTCTGAACAGGTTCTCTCCCACTCCTTGTGGCAAAGCTGGGAAGTAGGAGGAAGTGCTGGCCCGCTCTTCCAAACCTGGACACAAGCCCCCGTGCCAACCCCAAGCACAGATTAGCCCCCCCGCTGCCAACCCCCCCGGCAGCCCCTGGCCATGGCAGTGCCCGAGCACCAGTCGTACCCAGCGTGGTGTCCCCGCAGCTGCCAGGGGCGGGGGACGAGCAGCGCAGGGAGGACACGAGCAGAACCTTCCGGACGGCGCCGAAGCCGCGGCCGTGGATCCCGGGGCAGGCCAGTCCCAGGAGCACATCCCCCTCCTCGGCTCTCTGCAGCCCCAGGGGCACCTGCCCTCGCTCCACCGCGCCCACCACGAAGCCGGCCAGGTCCGAGTCCCCCGCGGAACACGCGCCCGGGAGCTCGGACAGCGCCTGCCCTGTGGGAGAGAGGGGTCAGCACCGGGAACACGGGGGTGTTCACGTCATGGTCAGAGAACCACGGGAGGGTTTGGGTTGGGAGGGACCTCAAAGCCCATCCAGTGCCACCCCTGCCATGGGCAGGGACACCTTCCACCAGCCCAGGGTGCTCCAAGCCCCGTCCAACCTGGTCTTGGACACTTCCAGGGATCCAGGGGCAGCCACAGCTTCTCTGGGAATTCCATTCCAGTCCCTTACTACCCTCACAGGAAGAATTCCTTTCTAAAATCCCATGTAACCCTGCCCTCCTGCAGCTTAAGGCCATTATTTTAAGACCATTTAAAATTCGTGGCATCTCCTAAAGCACCAGGATATCCAGGAGAGCCACAGGACACACAGCCAAAGAAGCACTTTCAGATATATTTTAACCACAGATATATTTTTAAAATCCTTCTTTTATTATTATTATTTTTTATTATTATTTTGTGTGCTTATGTGGCACCTCTTGGTTAGGACTGAGTATCAGAGAGAGAATGAGAACATTAACACTTGAAGAACGTGAAGCCTCCAGTTCTGTTCTGCTTTTTACAAGGATAAAGGAGCAAGAACTGGGGTCCAAATGCAGAAATAGTGAAAACCATCCCTCTGTGCTGACCCTTTTACAAATAAGAAAGAATTTAAGCACAAAAGCTCAACTGTTTATGCACCAAACAGAACCCAACAATTCTAGTGCCACGTGCTACCTCTGCCTCCAGAGTCCATTTCTCTGGTGATAATTTCAACCTCAGTGTTCAAATCCCAGAGGAGAGGAGTGTTCCTACCCAGGAAAGCACATCCTGCACTCCTGCAGGCTTCAGCTATTCCTTCTTGGATCGTCTCAGTCACTTCAGCATCAAGTTTGCCACAGGCAAAATAACTGAGGAAGAAGAGGGGCTCTGCTCCCTGGGCCAGGATGTCGTTGACACACATGGCCACCAGGTCCTGCCCGAGGGTGCTGTGTCTCCTACAGGCTTGTGCCATCTGCAAAACATGGGGGGGAGGAGGAAGAGGCAGAACTCACACATCAACCAGGCAAACGAGCAGAACCCTCCTGTCTCTGACAGGAACCACTGCAGAACACAAGTGCAGGAGAGGCCCTGGTGCATCACCCGGCTCGAACCAAGAGAAAACTGCTCAGTTTCTGGCAGAGAAGAACTGTTTTGGTTTTTTAAACATTGATTCAAATTCTGGCTCCAGCTACCCAGAAATCGTCATTTTGGGTTAGGTTTTTTTTTTGTTTGCTTTTTGGAATATTATCATGGAATCATGGAATGGTTTGGGTTGGGAGGGACCTTAAAGCCCATCCAAGTTTCACCCCCTGCCATGGGCAGAGACACCTTCCACCAGCCCAGGTTGCTCCAAGCCCCATCCAACCTGGCCTTGGACACTTCCAGGGATGGGGCATCCTCTGGGAAATCCATTCTGGGGCCTCCCCACTCTCCCAGCCAACAATTCCTTCCCCATATCCCATCTATCCCTGCCCTCTGGCAGTGGGAAGCCATTCCCCCTTGTCCTGTCCCTGCAGGCCCTCATCCAAAGTCCCTCTCCAGCTCTCCTGGAGCCCCTTTAGGCCCTGGAAGGTGTTTCCCAAAGCACAAACATTTCCCTCAGGAAAGCTGGTTTCCCCTGTGCAGAAAAGCCCCGGACAGGAAGATGGACAAGGGGCAGACACACCTCAACCTCAGTGAGCTCAGAGTGGGGACAGAGCAGAGCCTGAACGAAGGCTGGGCTGGGATTACAGGCCTGGTTGATCTCCCTGGCTGCTGGATTTAGGAGTGCTATGGAAACCACTCACCCTTTGGTCCATTACAACACCTCCCTCCCACTGCTCCAGGAACAATTCCTAAAGCCATTGGCCAACTTTTTTTTGGCCAAGGAAGAATCTTGGGAACAGCCTGTGGAAACACAGTTGGGAATGTCTCTCTGCCAAGCAGTTGGAACAAAGACTCACAAGAGCCAGTACCAATCCCTTTTTCATGCTCAGAGGTGTCCAAGGATGTAAGATTGCAAAAGACCTTCTGGATGATTCCCTGCAGTCTCCTGTTTATCATCCTGTTATTAAAGGTACAAGCACCAACTTCAAACATGTGATGTTGCTGTGCTTGACCAGTGAAAGGAGCTTCAGGTCTCCATTTTTCTGGTGGCTGAAAACCTTCTGGTTCAACATATAAAGATATCCCTGGCTCAACTTATCCTGATCCAATATATAAATATATCCCTGGTTCAACTTATCCTGCGTGTTCTTGGGTAATTAAAACTCTTTATCTCTTGCCTTCTATTCCCCTTTAATGTTTATTTCCTCCATCCTTCCTTTCCCCAGTGCCCTGACAGTTACCAGGGAGAGGTAACTGTGCTCCCTCTGCACACACAGTTTGCTGAGCTGAGTCTGACAGTTCTCATTTCAACCCTCCCCCTCTCTCAAAGCCAAAGGACAGAAATTCTGGTTCTTAGTGCCTCAAGAGCTCACCTAAATTTTCGGTTTATTAGAATTTCATCACAAAATATCCACATTCTCAGTGACAGGCCTTGCTCAAATGATCGTCTCCAAAGTTGAGATGCCCACTGCAGTGGGCTCAGGTGTATTTATGGTGCTCAGGAGGGTGCAGATGCTGTGACTGGCAGTGGCACTTAAAAGCCTTGGGAGGTAACACCAGATTTGCCACAGCTCAGTT